CGTTAATCAAAAAAAAAGGGGGGGGGGGGCGGCGCCGCCGATGATCAAGCCAGGTGTCGAGATGTGAGACATTGACCGGTGATTGGATTGGGGCGCGCGCCCACGCAGGGTCCAAAAAAACGAAGTTGAAAAGAGAAGCAACCGTTCGATAGAGTCTCGAGAAAAAAAAAACGAAAAAGGAGTGCGGATAGTTGTCGGTCCTCTTTCCCCCCTGTTCCAGAAATGGTAATCCGATTCCGGTACTACTAGGCGGCGCAAAGGGTAAACCTCCTCCCTTTTGATTATGAAACAAACAACCGTTGCGGCGCGTTTTTAAGTTTCCCTTTCGTTCTTCTCTAGAGGGTCATGCCAGCTGCGAGGAGTGCCATTGCCCCTACGAGCATGGTAGGAGCTTGTAATGACAAAGCGGCACCGGTTGAGGAAGAACTGCTGCTAGGAGCAGGCGAGGTGGAAGAACCGGTTGCGGTGTTGTTGGTAGCAGCTGAGGTGGGGGAGAGCTGAGCAGTTGGGGTCGTGACTGAAGGTTGCTGGTTGACACCCGCGACCCCGCAGAAACCGGTCGAGTACTGGATAGCGGTCACGACGTCGTCGTGGTTGGGGCAATACTGATCGAGGCAAATAACGAAAAAAATCGCGTCAAAAATAGAGTAAAAAATGGGACAATGACGTTACGTACGATGGCAAAGCAGTTGATGACTCCCTGGACGTAGGTCTGAGATGCGCACAAGCAGGCAAAGTTGTTGTGCGCGCAGCCTTCTTGCGAGACACCGTTGGTGCCAGTGTCGAGACAAGGAGCAGAACAAGCTGGGGGAGTGCTTTGGCGGCGGTCGTACCACAAAGTCGCGGCCGAGGCGTATGCGGCGAAGAGGAGGGTCATGAAGAGAGTAGCGCGCATGATGATAGTTTGATAGACAAGACTGTTGATAACGGTCTGTAGAGTGGGTTGTAGCGTTAGAGGGTTTGGGTGGGGGGAGTCCAAGTGGTCTGCAGCGGTGGCCCGATGTTGAAAGGACCTTTTATACGAGAGCGGGGGGGCTTAATATAGTGAGAATTGAATGTCGTATCGTGTTTCGAACGAGTAAAAAAAGGCACGAGAGTTGAACGGCGGTCAGATAAAGGAGGGTCACATGTGTAGACAATAGGAATGGCGCGCCAGAGGATTCGACAGCTCGATTTCAATTGAATAAGCCACCTATTATCTGCTCTTTTCGTCTAGTCCCCAGGACCTCTTCTCCTTCGCTGGACCCCTCGTTCTCCCGAGCGCTTTCAGAGATCCTCAATCGGTAGAACTAGCCATTATGCCATACTGCAGCCATTGACATTCATTATGCCATTGACCCCTTGGCTTCATCGCTACTATTAATCGGAGACGCTGACCTCATGTGTGCAGACGGAGGACGCACTTGATATTCGAGTGAGACTGTCCAATTATCAATCCCCCTCGGCGCACGAATTTCCGCCGCCTGTTCCAGACGTTGGTCGCCGCTCACTCCGCCATCACATTTATTATCTTGAACTGGGTCATGGGATCTCCGCTTTTTCATCCCAGTCTTTCCGTTTAGGCAATAAAAGTGGGTGGCTCGGCTACGGCCGCTCGAACAGTGAAATTAGACCAATTTAGACCGAGAGGCGTCGAAGGTTTTTGCTTTGTGAGACTTGCCCGAACAGCGACTCGGGCGTAAACTTTATTTACGAGCCAAACCAAAGCTCGACCTCTCTCCCTCACATCGAACCCTCTTCTGACAAAAAATGGCAAGCTATTCGCGTATTCAGGGATATTTGGGTGTATACTAATGGAATGCTCTTTGTTTGGAATTTTCGCCAATTCTTTCGGATCGTTCATGGGTTCACAT